GAGCACAGGCTCCGGACGCGCAGGCTCCGCGGCCATGGCTCACAGGCCCAGCCGCTCCGCGGCATGTGGGATCTTCCCTGACCGGGGCACAAACCCGTGTCCCCCGCATAGGCAGGCGGACTCTCAACCACTGCGCCACCACGGAAGCCCCACCTTAGCCTTTTTTATGTGTCTCTATTCACAGCACTTGTCAGAATGTTCTGTATCAATTTTTCACATCTTCCTGAATCAGTCTCTTGGATTCTCAAAAACAATACTAGCCTTATTTATTTTATATCATCAGCGCCAAGCACAGGACCTTGTGAATAATGTAAATGTTGAATAAATGTTTAATAAGCAAATGAATGTATAATAAGCATGCCATGCAGGGAGCCAGTGTTCTGTTTTTGTATAGGATCAGCCTTGCACAGTTATGCGTATTGGAGTAGAGAAGCATTCCTTCCTTCTTGTTTTCTTTTCTTCACCAAGTATTTATTGAGCAACTTCTGTGTTCTAGGTTCTATGGGAGGCGTCAGCATATTAAAAATAATAAAACATTGCCTCTTCCCTACAGGTGCTCTCAATTTTAATATGAAGGAAAAACAGCAAAGTAATAATATGAGTTGGGTACCAATTGCTTAACAGGAGCCCCTTTCATGTTTATAACTGGACTGTGGAGATGTCTTCTACTCTGCTCTCTGAGGGCCAGCATTTGAGATGAGTCTTGAGTGCACGTGGTCACCTCCATATTGTGCCCGACACCTAAGCACGTGCAGAAGGTCTTGGGAGAACCTCTTCAAAGTATATCAGTAGCTCCTAGAGAATGATGTCTGATGTGGAGAATGAAGAGGTCCTTGATCAAAGGGTCAGGACCCCTTAGTTCTAGTTTTAGCTCTGCTAGTAATTAGTTATGACCTTGGGCAAGTGATCCAATCTGTTGGATATCTTGTCTGTAAATTGAGGGTGTTGTTCTATACTCTAGGTCAGTGGCTCTCAACCAGGAGTTTATCATAGGATTTAAAAAATATATGTATTCAGTCCCTACCAAAGAGTCACTTAAATCTCCCAAGCTAAGGCCAGGCCATGTGTATTTAGCAAAATAACTTGCTGGTGATTCTGACAGGCTTTGACTGAGCTATATCTGCTCTCGATGATATCTTGATATCTGAGGTCTCTGGGCCTCTGTCTGGCAGGTCCCCACCCTGACCGAGACACGGAGACTCTAGGCCCACTCCAGTCTTTCTCCTTAATAGGCTGTGAGAACCAGGAACATTGTTTCCAAAAACAATCAGATCAGTAGCTGACATCATAGGTCTTCCTGAAAGAGAGGAAAGAGATGCAGAGCAGAGATAAGACAAAAAAAATCCCCAAATGCTTGTAGGATGCTGGCATCACAGCCGGCTCTCTGCAGCTTGTTGAACTTTAAGATGGACCCAGTCATTCTGATGCCCTCACTCCCATATATTTATTCTCTGACTGAGGCACAAAGATCCGAGTGAGCTAATGCATCAACCCATGAAAAATGAACAATTAAAACAATGAAGTTGTCAGTTCTTTTACCAGATTGTGAATAAATAACCTGCCTGTCAGGCTGGCTGCTCTGCTGGACCATTAGTTTAATACAAAGACATTCTGAGAAACGGGTGGATGACAGCTGATCTATCACCGGGCCTTTGATAAAGACTTGAGCAAAATATGCTGTCACAAAACACCTAAGGTCAATCCCAATGTGTGAGAAGCAAAGTATTAGATGAAATTTGAATACACCTCTCTGCCCATCACGAAAGCTATAGGTTTAAAAAAAAAAAAAACTGGTGAGATGGTGAGTACTTGTTTTGACAGTCCAAAACACTTTTCTGCTTATGCTTAGCTGTCAGGGACTCTGTGCTGATGTAGGAGGCCTTGGAGTTTCTAACCATCACAGTGATCTTGGGACTGCACCATGTATCTTCTTACTAGGCCGGACAGGGTCTTCCCATGAGAAGTTACTCTAAGCCATGTCGAATGCTAACACAGTCATGAATTTCCAAACAAAAAGTCAATTCATGGCATTTTCTTATGTGTATGGTTTGAATTCTGTGTGCTAGCTCAGAAAATGTTTGCCAGCCAGATATATCGCCCAGGTAAAATAATTACATAAGACAGTAGACAAGACAATTAAACAAAGACAAATTCATTACCTTCTCTAGTTGAGATCTCATCTATCTTTACATTTTAGTGGGAAAAGTAGAGATAGGAATGACCTCTCACAAGTCACTTTGAAGAAGATAATTGTTATTTCTTAGAAGCAAAAAGTACTATTAGAAAGTTTACCCTATAGTAAAGCTAGGTGAGAGGCAGTGTTTATGAGGTTTTCAGAGTTAACCAACTTGTCTCTAACTGATTTGTCTCATCTTGAATTTAGCAAAGCTGACTCCTCAGTTTTTAATAAAAATCATTCAAATGCCCAAGAAGCAAACAAATCAAAAATACAATATTTCCCCTTCCAAAATCTTTTGGGTATTCATCTCTATTCAAGTCATATCTTCATGGTCAAAGTGATGTAAGTTCTACCTAAATCCAAAAATAGGAACTATCAGTTCCATCTTATTTTGGAGTACATTCACTGGTTAATTCAAAGGGTAAAATCTAGCTTCAATATGGAGAAACAATTTAAATCTACAGAGAAGCCATGATTTCAACGAAAGAGGCATCAACTCTATTACTTCAAACTGGTTTGACCAGTTCTTCCAGGGAACTGGGTGGCTAACTAGTAAACAAGGTGAACAAGAACATGTCAATATAAAACTCTCCAGGCTGATTTTCCTTCCTACTAAGTCAAACCACAACTTGGCCTCTTGTCCAACTTTGTAATCTCTTCAATGTTATATAAAATTAGCACCCTCTCACCTCCTAAGAAGAATCCCCGAGAGACTGGAAAAAAGCTCAGAGCTCATCCTAAGGCTATCTTGGTTTTGTTCCTGATTTTTCCTTAGTAGCCTTGCCATTTGGGCAAGTGGCTTAATGTTTGCTTATCTTGCTACGTGCACAGTAACATCTGCTTAAAGGAGACCTTATATATAAAAGCAAACACTGTTCTATAGTCAGGGGGAGCCCTTGAAGTTGTTTTCTTAAAACAGAAAAAATAATGTTATTACATTGAGCACTAAGAACAAGTTTTATATAGAAGAACAAGTTCTATATCTTCTAACCTGCAGATATAGAAACTTCCACTGCAATCTGCATTTAGTCTTCTGTCAGTTTTAGCCCTTGAGAAGTCTCTTCCTCCTGAGTCTTACTGTAGGTGTATCTGGGCACTCAGGCTGCTTCCCAAGTTCTTGCTGGGTTCTGACCTTCCCTCAAGAGTCCCAAGTCATTCTCAAAGTGACATTTATTAAAACCTGTCCTTTGGTTCCATTAAGGAAAAAATTTTTTTAATTAATTAATAATTGATGATAGTTTTCCATATATTTTTTAAGGTTATTTTATGACATATAGGTTTATTTATTTATTTATTTTTGGCTGCGTTGAGTCTTTGTTGCTGCACATGAGCTTTCTCTTGTTGCATTGAGCGGGGGCTACTCTTCGTTGCAGTGCACAGGCTTCTCACTGTGGTGGCTTCTCTTGTTGCGAAGCACGGGCTCTAGGTGCACGGGCTTCAGTAGTTGTGGCACATGGGCTCAGTAGTTGTGGCTAGCAGGCTCTAGAGCACAGGCTCAGCAGTTGTGGTGCACGGGCTTAGTTGCTCCGCGGCATGTGGGATCTTCCTGGACCAAGGCTCGAGCCAGTGTGCCCTGCATTGGCAGGTGGATTCTTAACCTCCGTGCCACCAGGGAAGTGCCCATATATATATATATATTTTGATGCTAATTTATTTTTTTTAAACATTTTTATTGGAGTATCATTGCTTTTCAATGGGCATACATATATCCCCATATCTCCTCCCTCTTGCCTCTCCTTCCCATCCTCCCTATCCCACCCCTCTAGATGGCCACAAAGCACTGAGCTGATCTCCCTGTGCTATGAGGCTGATTCAATGCAATCCCTATCAAACTACCAACGGCATTTTTCACAGAACTAGAACAAAAAATTTCACAATTTGTATGGAAACACAAAGGACACCGAATAGCCAAAGCAATCTTGAGAAAGAAAAACGGAGCTGGAGGAATCAGGCACCCTGACTTCAGACTATACTACAGAGCTACAGTAATCAAGACAGTATGGGACTTCCCTTGTGGTGCAGTGGTTGAGAGTCCACCTGCCGATGCAGGGGACACGGGTTCGTGCCCCGGTCTGGGAAGATCCCACATGCCGCGGAGCGGCTGGGCCCATGATCCATGGCCACTGGGCCTGCGCGTCCGGAGCCTGTGCTCCGCAGCGGGAGAGGCTGCAACAGTGAGAGGACCATGTACTGCAACACAAAAAAAGACAGTATGGTACTGGTACAAAAACAGAAATATAGATCAATGGAACAAGATAGAAAGCCCAGAGATAAACCCACGCACATATGGTCACCTTATCTTTGGTAAAGGAGGCAAGAATATACAGTGGAGAAAAGACAGACTCTTCAATAAGTGGTGCTGGGAAAACTGGACAGCCCATATATTTTTTATATTACATGGTTTTAAAAATAATTATATTTGTATTTATTTCTATAAAGACTTGTGCATCAAGCTATTGTTAATAACATAGCTCTATTTAATAACATGGTCTCTAAGGTAAGTCAGAAGCTACTTTAAATATTTAGAAATACAGAGATTGTGATAAGTTGAATAATAGACCCTCAAAGATGTTCTAATTTCTGCAGTCTGTTAATAGGTAATCTTACATGGCAAATGGGACTTTGCAGAAGTTAACGATTTTGAGATGGAGAGATTTTTTTGGATTACCTGGTAGGCCTAATGTAATCAAAAAGTTCTTATAAGAGGGAAACAGTCAGAGTAGAAAGAAGCAGCTAAACTGCTGGCTTAGAAGATTGAGAAAGTGGCCAAAAGCCAAGGAATGTAGGTGAGTCCTAGGAGCTAGAAGAGACAAAGAAGTCCATCCTCTCCTCAAGTGTCCTGAAAGAACACAGCCCTGTCAACACCTGATTTCTAACCTACAGAACTGTGAGGTAATAAATTTATGTTTTTTAAAGCCACTAAATTGGTGACAGTTTGTTACAGCTTAGGAAACTAATACAGAAACATTTATAATAATGCAAGCCTTACCTTGTCTAACATACATACATACATACCATTGCCAGCACACTGGGAATTATATCGGTAACTCATATGTACCTGGGTCTTTCCCTCTGGAAATTTTTTGTCCTCCCTACTCTTTTTTTCTTCCCCTTCCCCTTCCCACTCATTATATTCTCTCTAGTGTTTCCAATCTGTTAAGTGGTGATCTCCTCAAAGAGAACATTTGGAACTAAACACACCCCATCCCCTGCCTGCCAATCTAAATTAGGGTCCCTGATGTTATTCTGTCTCATACACACTAACCCCTTATAAGATTTTTTAATTAGGCACTTATTTGAATGATAATTTTGTTGTGTTCATCTTTCTACTATTGCAAGCTTGATGGGTACACGCGCCATGCTTGATTTTGCTCACTGTTGTGAACCTAGCACATAGCAGGTATCCAGGAAATATTTTTTGGCTGACTGAGAACATTCTAGAATTCTGCAAATTTTGTAATATAGATTGAAAGCATGCCCCATAATGCAGTCCATCTGGGATCATGAGGCAACAAACCAACACACCACCTCCTCTTTCAGAGGACATGAAGCAGGCTGTGCATTAACTTTGATTTCCTCTGAAGTCTTAGTCAAAGTCATGATTATTTAGCCAGATGACAATTGATGGATGTTTTTCATGATGCACATATAATCTAAGAAATGCTACAGTATTTCTCAAGAATTCTCTTTAATAACATCCAGAATGCTTTGACTTGCTTTTATTTCCATTTGCACTTTATTGCTTTTCAATATAAATTGTAAATTCCTTCAAAGACACTTAAACATCCATTGAAGAACAGACTTTGAGAACTTCAAGAGATTAGTCTTCCTGAGTAATTATTTATGTCTTCTGCAATTTTGATTCCACTGGAGTTCAAGAATCAAAGCTAAGGATTTGTCTGAGCTCTTCTTGGGATGGAGAAGTGATTAACATTTGCGAAACATTTTTGTGAATCCTCAAAACACTGAACGATTAATGAGAAAGTGGTTACATTTTATTTATGTGTGTTTCAGAAACATCAAGCCAGGTGATTTCAATGTTTTTTTAGAAAAGCATTGGTCTTGACATATTATGTATTTTTCCCATATTATTCTGAATGTGTCTATGGTTTTTGCCCAGGTATAGCATCTTTGTTGAATAGTTGATCCTGATTTTAAATGCAAGGGTTTCAATGGAAAGGAAACACATTTTACTGAAGTATTATGAGATTCCTTTACGTTACTATGTCTACTAGGTTACTCCTGATAACAATCTGTGAGATAGATTTTATTAATCCCATTTTACAGAAGAGGAAATTGAAGGTCTTAGAGCTTAAATAACTGTTTAAAGCCAGAGATAAGGTCCATAGCCGTGCTGAGCCCCGCAACCCAAAGTTCCCACCATTTCCTCTAGACCACACAACCTTCAGTGGATCTTGCAGACCAGCACGGTATTCAGGACGGCTCCCTCTCTCTCAAAGCAGACCAGTCAGAATACCGCTTCCCTCAAAGCCCTATGCCAGGGGGCCCCATAACTCAAGATGGGAAATGGCTAAGTATCAATAGATGAGGATACTGGAACTTATTATACAAACCCTACTGTGTTCAGCACGGCCACTTTGACTCCTCTAATGTTATTATTCTCCTCAGAGCACAGGGTTTTGTGGCCATGTTTGCTGTGGCCATATCAAGATTTATACTCAGGTAACCCCACGGCAAAAACAGGTCTTCCCAGTGATGGGAAGAATTTGTAATAACCACAGCTCTTGGTTTCTGAAGTTATCAGAAGGCTTTAATGAAACATTTTGATTTTTCTGATTGTTTGTGAGCCTTCCATTAGGGATCACCTTTCATCACGTCACGGTGAAATGTAGGTGATGCTGTTACGCGTTTACTGACCACGATGTGAAGGAAGTAAGAATATCACAAACCTCCACTCCCAGTCACCTCTGAAATGCCATAAGCAGTTCTTAGTGCTTAGTCACTTATTAACAAACAAAGTTAATAAACTTCTCAGGCAGTAAACCCAGATGTGCTTTTTGGCATACCTGGCAAGTTCAGGATAAGTGCTTTACTGATATATTTGAACAATCAGTGATTCTTAGATAAAAGAATGTCTAGACCAACAGCAGACTACATAAACAGCTGTTCAGATGCCGAGTCAGATTCTACCTAGTACTCTCTTATTTGTACATATCCCACTCAAGAAAGGGAGAAAAAAATGCATTTTTTGATTAATCACCCCGTGTTTCATTAGTCTTTGTTTTTAATACTAAGGAAGCAACCAATGGCCCTTAAAGGTAGCATTTCTGTTACTGCTGTCATTTCTACTTAAAGCAAACTGGAAGATGAAATGTTTTTAAGGATAGTGGATGCTAAAAAACAAGTAACACCACAGGCACACAGGGCAGCCAACAAAACACAGGGATGCATTGAACAAGACAGTTAATAACTTCTCCAGTGTGAGGGCTTTTTAAACGGTTTGTTCTTTCACGATGACAAACCCCCAAGGTGATAAATTAAAAGGTTGACCCAGAAATTATTATTCAAATTTAGGTCTACAACAACCTAAATTGTCTGATTTTTTTTTTTTACTGAATTTGTTTGAATGTTCATCAAATACAAACATGAAACTCAAAATGTCTACTTGACTCTGTTTTGTAAGCTGAAAAATACCCAGAAAGCCTTTCTCTTTTCCTAGCAAAATGGCATGATATTATTTAGAAGTTGGAGAGAAAGCTTTCACTGCTTGCCCTGTAAAAAGGAAACAGCACAACCAGCAGAGTAGCTGACAAGTGACACAAATACAGTACATACTAATGCAGAGAGAGAAACAACCTTGAGAATTTAAACCGGTTGCACCAAAAAAAAAAAAAAAATCTTTATCCAGATATGTGGCCCCTCATGAATTATACTATTATTTTAGTTGATTTTACCTGACATCACCCTATGATTTTCTTCAGTGACAAGAAAATTGCAGCCGGCCCTTGACAGTCGGTCACAAATTGACTGAACAAAACAAAGTCAAAGAGTGAAGTAATCCCCAAGTAAATTTAATGAAACCTAAATCCCAAAGGGCAGCACACTTCTGTAGGCAATGGTCTTATTTAATAAATTTTTCCCTGCTTTCACTTTTAGAGCTATATTTACACAGACAAATTTAATTCATTGGGTTTACATTTCCTCTTTCTCTTCGTTTGTCCACCAGGAACAAACGGGAAGGACTGTAAACAGGTGTGTCAGTGTTCAGCTGAGAATGAGGAGTGTCACTCCATCACAGGGAGATGTACCTGTGTGCTGGGCTACCATGGAAACCGCTATCATCTCCGTAAGTGTGTTCTGTGCTTTAGCTGTAATTGATTGAAGAGACACTGATGCGGGGCGGGGGGGGGGGGGGGGGGGGGGGGGGTCATCACTCAGAATGCTAAAGGGCAAATGTTAATTCAAGCTTCTAATTCATTGCAAATCCCCTGGGAATTTTTATTGGAATGGTTGAAAACATACTTTCCTGTGTAACTCGTTCTCCTATTTGCCTTTTCTATTCAAAATATCCCCAAGAAAAAGATAAGAAATAAAGAAGAAAATATGAACCAATGATTATAAATCAATATACAGCAAATGGCAACATATTTAAGGTGATTCATAAAAGTAAGTTAGTTCCAGGATCTGCTTAGGAACAATCAAATTAAACAAATTGTTATTCTGGAATGAAAACAATGACTTGCTTAAATGACAAAATGCCAGTTGGCTCCCTGTTGTGTAATAAAAAAGAATAGTCCGTAGACCAGACACCTTATATTGATTTGTTAGGACATTTTAACATCGAAATGGTTATAGGAGAACACATGATAAAAAGTCCCAAAGAGCATGTTAAAATGTTCAGTCAGCTACTTAATTTTTAAGCTCGTAATTATTTATAATGGACTTTGTATAGGTTTAAGGATAAAATGATTTGGCCTCAGTTTCATTTTCTCCCCCAATTTGGCTTTTGCCACTCTTTCTCCCTAGTCGTTCCTATAAGAGATTTTTTTTCTACTTTCCTTTCCTAATTCTGCAAGTATATGGATGAGTTGGGGATATTTCCTAAAAAACGCCACCCATAAAAATAGACTTATGGTCAAGCTATTGGTTTTCATTTTCTACAAGCCATAGAATATATATTTTGAATCTCACTTCTCACATTTGTCCTAATTTTAAACGTTACCAGCTAAAAACACAATTAAGCATGTATGAAAATGGTTTCATACACCCATAGGACCCATAATGATTGCATCATTCAAACTTAAAATGAAGAACCAAAATATATGATTAGTAAAATTTCAATTATTTTTTTCGGTCATGGCAAATTTCAAGCACTTTTGCAGTGGAAGAAAAGAGTTATTTCCTCACATTTCATGCTGTCACATTTCTCAGGAAGAATTTCTTCTTGATATCAAGGGCGTTTCATCTGAATAAAATAAAATTAAGTTACATAAAGCTGAGAGTCCTTCCATTTCAGAAGACCAGCTACCTTGGGTTGAAGGAGGGGAGCTTCGCCTTGTAAAAGCCAGTCTGAGGCAGGGAGCCACTCCCTGACTAGTCAGATGGGCTTAGTTCCAGGCAACACGTGGTTGAAAGTTGCTGCAAAGGTTCCTTGGCAACATCCACTGTAATTACAGGACGATGAAAAAGGGTTCAAGAAAATATCCATGAAAGGTGTAGCTGGCTCAAAAGCAAAAGTTCCAGCAGCCAAAAACAACTGGGCTTTCATGTTCTCAGGGTCGGAGTGGAGAATCAACATTTTCTCTCGGCAGAGGCCAGAGGAAGCAGAAAAACTTGCAGTAGGAATCTCACCACTTGTTCATAATTTACACTGGGCAGGTCAGTCCCAGTCTGTGGATAGCATGAGGGGAAAAACAAACTGCTCGGTAGATGCAAACTCATCATGCTATCTATGTATTTTATGACCAATGAGAAATTGTATAAGCGACTACAGGTCCTGGAAATCTTTTGTTTCTCCAACCTGCAATACTATTTATTAGAAGTCTCTTTGAGAGAAATGAAGGCATTGGAGTCCTCTAAAACCATGGGCATTTCTGTTGACAGTATTCATAAGAACACCGTTACATTGGTTGAAGATGCTTTGAGAAACATGGGCCACAGGAAGCTCACCTGTGCCAGGAAGAAGATGTCAAGGCATTAGTGGAAGCTTAGGTTTAATGCTCTTCCTCATAGCAATAAAAATTCAAACAGACCACGTCTTAGTATCTGTTTTTAAGAGTAAAATAAAACTGCGGGCTTGCCTGGTGGCACAGTGGTTGAGAGTCCGCCTGCCGATGCAGGGAACACGGGTTCGTGCCCCGGTCCGGGAAGATCCCACGTGCCGTGGAGCAGCTGGGCCCGTGAGCCATGGCCACTGAGCCTGCGCATCCGGAGCCTGTGCTCCGCAACGGGAGAGGCCACAACAGTGAGAGGCCCGCGTACCGCAAAAAAAAAAAACTGTGCAACAGTGGCTGGTGTGTGTGTGAGTAACCTGATCAAATACTACTAGGAAAACAGACTGAAAAAACAGATTCATGCTTTTCATTTGCTTTGGAGCTAAGTGTCTCAAGATACAGTCACAATGTTGCCTGTTCTAAGCTTCTAATAAAGCTACCAAATGTCACTCACATCATCAGTAGCCTTCAACATTTAAACAAATCAGAACTGTGAATTCATTTCCAAGCTTCTTCTTAGTTAATCCCTTTCATGTAGAGGGGATAGTACAAGGATGGGGAAAAATAGTCATCTTCTAATGGAAAATAACCAAATATCCCTTGCCAGAGAAACAGAATTTCCTGGGAGAGCTAATTGTAATGAATAGAGCGAAGGCCAAGTAATGGTCAAAGTGGAACTTTAGGAAATGAGGGAGGGGAGACCAAACACACAAACAAACCAAATGAAATCATTATGTCCTGGGTGTATGTTTCCTTGTTAAATTTAGTGAACACCAGAGCAAGAAATGTATGCATGATTCCAGAACTTTCACATAACTACAGAATTATATGAGGAAGTGGAACTGTCAGTAAAATAACTTATTCTTGGGGAAAAAGTTATGGGCACTTTTGTAAACACATATCATACTCTTGATATAACTTTAATGAGTTGCGGGACTAAAAGGTTAGCGCATCTACTGTCTTTCAACAGATGTTATGCTCAGTAGGTTAATTTCATCAAGTTCAGTGTTCTGATTTCAAAAAGATAATTAAGTTGAAGGCTTATTTTTTTTTCTATATACGAAAAAGGAATAGCAAGGGATGATGCTTTTCAAATGCAAAACCGCCATTCAGGTAGTTTGAAAATGAGTATATGTCAGAGAGAAATTGTTTTCCAAGTACCTTCAACTCAAATGAAAGCGATCTCAAAATATAAATCTTTACACATATCACTTATATAAATTCATCAAGTAATGGCATATAAACTCTTTCTTCCTTTTAACTGAAATGCTGATTCTGTTATATGTATTATTATATCCACAATTTAACATTTCCCTTATTAATAAATATGTAAATTTCACTTTATTGGGTGTTTCCCTTTTCCCTATTTGCACAAAAATCCTTGTCACTTTTCACTTCCTAGTCATGTGACTACAGAATTTTCTATGCCAATCCATTCTTATTAATTTAACCTCCTTTTTGGAAGCAACATGCCAGCAGTGCACCCAAGACTTCATTGTTCCCAACTGCATACCTTTAGCTTGCTTTGTGTTTTTTTTCTCTAATATCAAGCAACCAAACATTCTTTTTAAGCATCACACATAGTAATAATAAAAACTATTTAAAAATTACATTCTGAAAGATTGACCCGGATAGACATGAAAGCATTTTATATCTTGGTGAATAAGAGAAGAAGAGGAGGGACTTGCCCCATGGCGCAGTGGTTAAGAATCCACCTGCCAATGCAGGGGACAGGGGTTCGAGCCCTGGTCCGGGAAGATCCCACATGCCACGGAGCAACTAAGCCTGTGCACCACAACTACTGAAGCCCACGTGCCTAGAGCCCGTGCTCCGCAATGAGCAGCCACTGCAGTGAAAAGCCCGTGCACCGCAACGAAGAATAGCCCCCAGAGAAAGCCCGTGCACAGCAATGAAGACTCAGCACAGCACAAAATAAATAAATACATTTTTTAAAAAAAGAGAGAAGAGGAGGTAGAGACTGTTTTTAAACCACTAGTTCTGTTTTTAGGTATACTCTATTGAATTTTTGTGCGGGAGAAAAATAACTTCTCTAAGAGGACTAAAGAATGCTGTTTACCAAAGAAGTGTCCATTAGCTATGAGAATTGACATCCCTTGGAAGGAGGGAACAACAGAAGAGAATGTGAAGTGCATCCATCATTTTTCATAGAGAGTAATAAAGAAATACAGCAGCTGCAGAGAAGTAACCTTTGGTAGGAATGATTTTAGGTGTTTTGCTTTCCATCCCCATCATGAAGGGTTTTATTTTAAAACTGAAAGAGAAGGGGGGGAAGAAGAAGTTATTCTTTGAGACTCAAGCTGAGAGCATGGGTTTTAGGACAGGATGTAGATAGGGATTATAAACGATCTGAATCTCAATAAAAACCATTCTTTGGCTTCTACCTCTAAAACCTGCTACTTGTGCAATACTCCAAAGTGTTCTTTACCATTTGATTCTTATATAGAAATACAGGATAAATGGGAAGGAAGCAAGTGTCATCCAGTCTCTGGTTTAGTCATTTTTAGAGCTGAGCTTCCAAGTGAAAAGATTTTGCAAGAGGAAGGACCTAAAGCAAATATGAAGCCTTTGGACTCAGGTCAAGCAGGTAGGGAAAGCGTTTTGCCATGTGCCCACCAATGATCCTGCCACCATGAATGAAATAATGGCTACCATTGACTTGGGAGCTATCTGAATTTGGCAATATGATAGATGCTCTACTTGTTCACACAATAAGCCTGTGATTCTGTCATCATCCCCTTTGGGAATGAAGAACCAGGAACTCAAAGGAAGGACTGACTTAACAACACTAGCAAGTGGAAGATATAGGGTTCAAATTATAGTCCATTCAAAATTTCCTACAGCTCTATATTTTTAATATATGACAGGAAAAAATAAATTTATCTTTAACAGATGACAGAATTTTGTGCAGTAAAAATTTCAAGTGACTACAATCTAGGCCTCAACTTCCTCATCTTAAAATAAGAGTTGAATCAGATGGACTTGAGGTCTCTTGAAACGCAAACTTCTATGATTTTAAGACTTTAAAGTACCAGACATTTCATAGAGCAGGAGAATATCATATTTGGAAGTGCTTCAAAGTTAATCAAGTGCTTGAATCCCTGCTGCATTTTCTCTGCTAGTTAACTTATCCTATTTCTGCTGGAACTCCTACAAAGATGGGTAACTCATTACCTCCTGGAAAAAGCTTATTCCAGTCCTGGACAGCTCTTTCAGAACGTATTTCCTTATTGAGATAAAATCTACCTTCCTCCTTTTCCATGAGACTTCCTTTTCATGGGTGAAGCAGTTCTATCTTCTTAGGTCTACTTTCTCCTGGCTAAACACCCTCAACCTTTCAATCATTGCACAGATAATGTGGTCTTCAGGTCACTCTTTGTCCTGTTCAATCTCCTTTTATCTTGAAGTCTGGCCATTTATCTGTCTCTCACACAGGTATCAGAATGGTTGGCCATGCATCCATGGATATAAGAGTAGAAAACTGAGAAACTAACAGAAAATGAAGATGCTTCCTCCATGCTTGGTGCCATTTTGAATTCTTATTTGTATTAAACCCAGATCATTCCAGATAAGACAAATTATAATACTTAAACATTAATTGAAATAATGATTTTTTCTAGGCTGGAATGAAACAACCTTGTTCAGTGCATTGTCTTTTATTCTGAGCATTCTCCAAAACTGGGTCAATTTTCAAGGAAACTCAAAGTTAAGTTTCTTATATCTTATGAATGAACAGCATCAGGAATTTTATGTCCCCTTCCATATTTCTAAGGCATGTATCTGTATCAACTCATATCCTCAGATATGTCCATGACTTGAATCGGTAGCTTGAAGGTGATTAAAAATACCAAAGTAATTGGAATGTTGAGTTAACCACACGACTATGGGCATGAAGCTAAACACTGATAGCTTCAAGTTACAGTACCACATATTTTGTTCTCCTTCAATAGGTTGCCCAAAAGGCACTTATGGTCCTTATTGACAAAGGAAGTGTAAGTGACTGAACGGTGGCAGCTGCGACACCATGATTGGCACCTGTGACTGCCCTCCTGGCTTCATCGGGGCTGACTGCAGTCAAAGTAAGTCACTCTACGTACTGTGAAGCAGCTATGCTGAAGCAGAGTTTTAAAGAACTGCACTTAGAGAGTAAATGTGGTCGCATTTATTTTACATACTGATTTATTGCAGTAACAGCAATCAGCAACTGACCTGTATTCTAGGTTGAGGAGTACTTACAGCAGGCATTTGACTGAGAGCTGAAGTCAGTGAAGGCAGCCGGAGAGAGACCTTTGGTCACATCCTCTCTTGCCCCCAGAAGTGCTGGACCCAAGTCAGGATAAGAAAATCTGTTTGGCAACATCAGAGCAGACTGGAGATTCCTGCGTACAAAATGTCAAACTCATTGTCCAAAGTTCCACAATTTCATTTATCCTCAGCAATTTCCCAGTTCAAAATTAAGTAGTTCCTCTAGTTACCAAAAAGTAACCATTTCCTGAAAATCTGAAGACCTTAACCACCGATCATACAAACAACTATTGACATCAAGGGACCAGATGTAAATTAAAGTTTCCTTACAAATGCACTGGCTTAGACATCATGGGAATATCCTTAGCAAATACATTTTGCTTTCATCAGATCTGCCATTTTCTAACTATTTAGACAGTTTGTAAGATGATGATGAGGCAATGAGTAGGAGAGGGCGTGGTGGGGAGGTGGTCCTGGCAATGCTGTGTTCTTTGACCTAGTGCTGTTGATGAGGATGTTTGCTTCACGATCCTTCACTGATGTGTGCATTAATGTTTTTTTGTTGTTTGTTTTTGTTTTTGTTGTTTTGCAGTACGCAGGCCTCTCACCGTTGTGGCCTCTCCCGTTGCGGAGCACAGGCTCCGGACATGCAGGCTCAGCGGCCATGGCTCACGGGCCCAGCCACTCTGCGGCATGTGGGATCCTCCAGGACCGGGGCACGAACCCGTGTCCCCCGCATCGGCAGGCAGACTCTCAACCACTGCACCACCAGGGAAGCCCGTGTGCATTAATGTTTTTGTGCACTATTCTGTATCTTGTACTTCACAAAAGAGTGAAGATCTTAAAGATAGAAGGGCTGTGATTGTAAACTTGAGATTCGTTTATTTGGAAGAATGATAATGAAGTTTGTGATCAGGCAGAACACTAAATTGTTATGTGCTAAAGATATCCAGAATGCTTATCTTCCGTAGGCAGGTAGTTACTCTGTCTTCTTTGTAGGAGGGTAATTTTAATTACTCTGCTTCAGTACCCTGCTGTTCTGAGGATAAAAGATGAATAAGATAAAGTCCTGGCTCCAAGTAGCAGAAAATTGAAACCTAACGGGTACTGCCTCTGAGGCCTCAAGGGCCAAGTTATCTCTGAGTGAAGGCCAACCCATAAGCATCTCCCAAAGAAGGTTCTAACTGGCTCCTTTGTGTTTGTTCTTCAAAGAAAGTCGTTGGAGAAATTTCTTAATTTCCTTAGGCCAGAGCATCTTCAAAATTTACGTTTTCCCTGAATATTGGGAGTAGTTTTGTCTTCAGAAAGCCGTGATTCCCTTCTTTGCTTTGACGGCTAGGGAAGTCAGAGCCATATTTGCAGTCCACCTCTTACAAGTTCAAAGAATTATGATATTCGTTTATGTATACACCGCTACTACATTTTCCCTTCACTTGATTCTCACAGACATTTATTTTATCTCTGTTGTATCTATATTTTGATAAGCATCTCAGTGAAATTGTGGAGTGAGATTGCAGCAAAGCAAGCAAATTAATAAATGTGTTAATTTATGAATAAATTAATTTTTAATTTATATTCATAGTATGAATGAAATAGATATAATCTATTAAAAGTAATTTAACAGATTTGTTGATTTTTAATAAATGCACAATAGATGTATAAATACATAAATAAATATTTGGAGATATGAGCATAATGGATCCTATATCAATGCATAGAAATGTAAGCTAAAATTTTAGAGTGGACTTTAAGAGGAAACTTACTCAAGATTATCACATACACACATACGCAGGCAAAGACAACCATGTGGTAAAGCAAGACTGAGTCTGTGTCATTTATGTCATATACGTATATAAATGTCTGACACAATATATTTGGATGGAATTCCTGATATCAACTAAAATTGCACTTAGTAAGCAAGAATTTGAACAGGTCCCTTTTTACTTTGGTTTTTTGAAGTAAACTTTTAAACTGAAAACTGAAGGCAAATCAGGGAAACCTATTTGACTAAAAGAAAAGGTCATGTATTTACACGTTTTTAAAAATCTTGACCGGCAAAACGTTTTAATAAGGAAAATCTGGTTTCCTTTTGCTCTGCTTTGTTTTGTTCCTTCCTGCAGCTTGTCCTGAAGATCACTACGGGCAGGACTGTGTCCAGCGGCGTTCCTGTGGCTCAGGACAGTGTGACCCAGTGACTGGAGGGTGCCAGTGTCCCCCCCGGCCAAATGGGAGCCAGGTGTCAGCAAGGTAACAATGCCTTCAGGGTCACCTTGTTCGTCCAGGCACTAATTAAGCTAAACTTTGAAGGCAGTTGCCAGGGCATATAATTAAGTGGGCATTGTTTAGAACACTTTCTTCTTAAATGTGGCTTTAATAACATGAAAGTACACACTCCCGTAGAGTTATAAAGGAAATAGTCTACTGGGGAGTAAACAAAAACAAAGAATAATTTACACATAGTCTTGACTAGGAGCAAATTTTTAAGTAACTGGCTAACTTTTGTAAAACTACCTCGAATTGTGTGTTGGAGGTACCTAATTGTATCAGCTGAAGAGTTTTATGTCCTCATCAATTTTCAACCCAGTGAAATCTGTAAGAAAAATGAGAGAAGAAAAAAAAACATGATCTTGGTTTAAAACTGCAAAACTTTCTTGAACTAAATAGTATTATTTATTATTATCATAATAACAATCATGATAACTGAAGAACTGTCAAGTTCAATGAAAAGACATGCATAGAGGTTGTTGGGCCCCTACAGCTCTTGAGTGGGGTCAGCAGAGCAGCTGTTTCTCCATGGCATACACAGAGGAGGAAACCTAATGACCCTTTGTTGAAATACAAGAGTCGGGTGTGTGGGCAGGCTGCAGCTTTCTTGAACCCCACCTGACATCACAAAGTGGCAGGAAAATGGGATAAAACCAAGAAGTGCACAGACATATTATCTTTTCAAGTCTTCTCTAGAATAGAGGGGAATCTATGGACTATAAGCGGCCTTGCAAGCTAAAGGGAGGCTGAGCCTACCCACACATATCCCATGACTTGTGTCATATGGAGTCTTACTCTGGACCAAGGAGGCAGCCTAATAGCTAAAATCATTTTTCTAGCCCCGAGTTGATACTAGCCCCCTAAAAAATTACAGGTGCACAAGAAACCAATCTGTTACATTAAAACAACTTGGCGCATATAAAAACCTTCCCTCATCTTGGAAACAAAATATGAAACTGTTCAAAGCTTTTTTAGTACAAATTCTGTAAGAAGGAGAAAGGAGAAAAGGAATACAGAAACAAAAGCAGACAAACGCAGAGCAAAAGAGTTTTGTTACGGAGCCCATGAAAGTATTATCCAGAATTTCTTGCAAGCATTCGAAGGACATAATGAAAAAATGTTCCCTATAAATTGTGAGTGCAATGCAGAGATACAAGGGTTCATGGAATAGATGAAAAGACAACAAAGGGAAATGAAAAAGTAAGCTGGCAGAGTTCAGAAAGAAGTGGAAATGAAAATTAAACCTCACATCATATAAATGTAGACCACATTGAACGCAGGTATTGGGAGAATGGAATCTGCTGATGCGACAACCACGTACATGGAGAATATACTTGAGGAAAATGAAAACAGTGAAATGGAAAAAATAAACAAATATAAAAATGGAAAAGAAAATATTCATGTATAATCAATATGTTTTTCCCCTGAAATGAAAGATCTGCTGCTACAGATTGAATGAATACATTCTATTCCTAGAAATACTAGTTAGGATTGATCTTAAGCGAGGGGAAACTATTGGCGATGTAAGAAAAAACATGAGATCTTATATGAAGAGATGGGGAAAATCACTCTGGCTTGATACTTCACAGCAATATTTATTGCTAGCATATGGCTATCAAAGCCTATGAAGTTCTAGGGAAAAAATATGACTCAAGTATTTTATACATAGTTAAACTGTTAAGAATAACCTATGATGGAAAATAAACAACAATTTTTAATAATCAAAAGTTGCTGGGAATATAGTAGCCATAAAATATTTTGAAGAAGCTTCTAGAAGATAAATTTGAGCAACAAAGTAATACGTGCAAAATCTCTGGTAAAAAAGACGTCTAGTGGGTGTTAATTCTATTTTAATTATGGCTAAGTTTAAAACAAATATGGGAATTATGGTGACACGGTATATGATAAATATATAGATACTTTACATGATAAAAATGTTGAGATTTCAGCATAACGAGCATAAGCTGAAAGGGAAGAGAGGCTGGAGGAGTATAAGTATCTTGATCTTATTTCTTCATTAAAGTTTGTGGGATGGGAGGGACAAATCTAGGTCAAAACATATTGTTCAAATATGACATCTCTATAAATACGTTTAAGTGTATAAAGATAAATGCTGGAGTTTAGAATGCTGTAATTTAGAATTTAAGACTAAAGATACAGCCAAGTACAATCAGGTGAAAAGAGGAATGAGAAAAATTCGGAGAAAGCAGAATCATATCAATTCCATCACCACTCATACTGGTGAGTCAATATATACCAAATGAAGAAACTCATTGTATTTTATATTATATGCACTGTCTAAAGAAGATCCTCTAGATTATACAAAATTATGTTTATACGGTTTTCACTTAGAAAAACTGGAGTACACACCCACCTTAGCTTGGAAAACAAGACTCTAGAATAAAATGAAGGTAAATAAATGGGTACAGACACACCAAGCACATGTGAACAAAAATAAAGCAGTAGGCATGACATCAATGTTAACTTTTATAATTAATAAGTGAATTGCTAACAAGGAGTAAAAGCTATGGTAAGAGAAAAAAAGAGCATGATGTAGTAGGGCTTGAGAGTACTAGATGGGCTGAAATTTTAAAACAAGTGGTCAGGGTAAGTCTCTTTGAAAGAAGTGAGACATATGATACAGAAAAAAGCTGGTAACCATGATGTTTTTTAGCAGGGAGACTGGAAGACTAGAGCACAGGGATGCAATACTTTTTTCTGTAATATATATACCTTTTTCTGTAATATACCATTTGAAATATTTATCGTGTAATTACAATAACTTTTAGAAAACAATAAAGTTATTTACACAATTCTGTGTGAATATTGTTCTGGAACTTAGACCTCTGGAAAGAAAGATTTCTAAGTACTCTTCACTCTTCCAATTATGTTTTTTTATCCAAAGTCTTATCTTGGAGTCCTATATTTTCACAGATTCACCAGTTTCATCAGTACATTTCAGCATTCAGGTTGGAAGATGAATGGGCCTCCTGGTTGATGAGGTGGTTCTGGAAGGGTGAAAGGGACACATATGAAAGTTTATTTTTATAGTCTAAGACTTGGTATCACTGATTTTGCTTAACTGTCTTAAAGGCAAAACTCAAAAACACATATGATGACAATTCAACCATTACTTGCACAACTATACCTGTTTTTTTAAATAAACAAAATTGAAATGCTTCTTTCATTTGAGACTAAAGTTAAGCACACCTATTCAGTTAAATAAAGGCAAGGAAGACAGTGTCATACAAATTGAATTCAAGTATGTGCTCTGTTGTGTATTAACCAAAGGCTTTAGGGCAAGTTAAAAAAATTTTTTCTCTACCGTTTCTCCCACCATCTAAAATAGAAAGAGAAGCCAGAAGGTTCTAGGTTTGAATCTTGGTTCTTATCTTTACTGGCTGCTTAAGCCCGAGCAAGAGTTAAGTTTCTCAGCTTCAGTTTTCTCAAGTATAAAATAAGAATACTGTTACCCACATCAGAGAAATATGTGTAAGCATTAAATGAGATAATTCATGTGGAAAATATCATTATGTAAAACTACTATAAACTAGAGGGTATAAATGGCAGGATTTTGGCCAAATCTAGCCACAAATGTGTTTGAATTGGCTGACATAGTTTTGGCTTCCACAATGCTATAAAACAATTTTAATTAGTTGCCAACTTTCAAATATTGGATGATTTCATATAAAATATGGATTTTTAGTTTTCCTGAAAAAAATCACATTAGCTGGCTGTATTGGGCTCATATCCATCTTGGCAAAACCAAATAAATGTAAGTGACGGTTACTCTCCCCCTGGTGGCACTTCCTGTCATTCAGTTATTTTCCCCCTGACAATGAAGGCTCAATTTCCCTTATGTCTGGTCAGCTTCACTCATGTGTAGCTTAACTCCTCTTGCCAGTGCATTTTTGTTGGTGTCACCCACCACTTTGTGCTGAAGTGCTTTTCAGATTTCAGCAGAGAAACATTAAGGAACAAATGACTGGTCCGTCTTCTTTATCAATTATGAGATTAAATACATCAAATCTCCCATCACCACTCTAAGGTTGATCTCTATCCATGGGGCATCTCCAATTCCTGAAGTATACCAGGCACATAGTTATGAGCTCAATAAATATTTATGGAGTGAATGAAAACATGAATGAAAGACTGTGATGTGCTTACTACCCTACGGATACATGTGAGTAGTTGTTTGTTTTAATTTGAGCATTTAAAAAAATGGTTTGGCGAGGGCTTTCCTGGTGGCGCAGTGGTTGAGAATCTGCCTGCCAATGCAGGGGACACGGGTTTGAGCCCTGGTCTGGGAGGATCCCACATGCCGCGGAGCAACTGGGCCTGTGAGCCACAACTACTGAGCCTGCGCATCTGGAGCCTCTGCTCCGCAACAAGAGAGGCCGCGATAGTGAGAGGCCTGCGCACATTGATAAAGAGTGGCCCCCGCTTGCCACAACTAGAGAAAGCCCTCACACAGAAATGAAAGACGCAACACAGCAAAAATAAATTAATTAATTAATAAACTCCTACCCCCAACATCTTCTAAAAAAAAAAAAATGGTTTGGCTATATAGATTTCTTCCTGAAGATTACTTACTGAAGCAGAGAAAAATGTTTGCTGTGTGACATTTTTATTGTTTGATTTTTAAAATTTTTACTACAGGATGTCCCCCAACGAGGTATGGCCCAAACTGTGAGCTAAAATGTACCTGTAAAAATGGTGGCCTTTGCAATCCTGTGGATGGAAGCTGTACCTGTGCCCTTGGCTGGACAGGAAATTATTGTGAAAAAGGTAAGTTGATTACTACCTTCTTTCATTCAATAAAAATCTACAGCATAGTGCCATTGGTTGATAAAGTATAGTACAGACCTGTGAAGGAGCTCTTTTCCAATAAGTTTATACAAGTTGTTTATAATTATGATTGCATTTCCAATAAAAATAATGTTATGTTAATACTGATTGATTTTTTTACCTTGTTACTGGAATACCACATGAAAACTCTTAAAACTCTTAAGTAATTGAAATAGTATTCATGCGAAAGAGCTCCTTTGAGACCTGAATCCCACTCCCCACCCCCAGCAAGTTCTTGAGGCAGGCGGGATGGAGGATGCAGGGCCCTGGGCAGAGCCAGTTCACATCAGGAGTGGACCCAGCTGCAAGAAGTGAAGTGCAGGATTCTGGGAGCAGAGGTCTCCAAACTGCACCTCATCGGGAGAAATTTAATCATGCACCACCATAAATGTACTTTTATTTAGAAGTGACATTCATGTGCTTCTCCACTAATATGTACATTATAAAGGTTTAAATTGATAATGAATGGATAAAGATAAAGATCAATAGTTGTTCTAATGTTTTCTTTTGGAACCACAGTTGATAATTTTGTACAACACTGAAAAGCATGCACCATAGTTAGAGCACACTATTGTGGGAGGTAGTGTTGTGTTTTTGCAGAATATTGAGAAAAAGCAGTGAGGCGGAGCATGGGTGAGAACACTGTGCTTGGGGCCTAAACTTGGGGTGCCCTGAGTGAAACATAACCCACAGTGAACTTTTACCTAGATGGTTCCAACTTTGGGGGCTATGGCTCTTTAGACCTGCGGCCCTAACATACTCTCACAGTGAGTGTGAGTACCCACCATCCTTTGCCGCTAATTTGACCGTCGTGAAACTCGGCAGCGTGGCACAGGCGAAAGCACCTTGCACTGGGGGTGGATAACCCTTAGGCTAATCTCTGCTCTGCTGACCATGCTCTGTGCCTTGGAGAGGTTCACAACCTCTCCCTGAGTTTCCCATCTGAAAGTGAGTATGGTGACACTTTGAAATGACAGCCCTTCTAAATCCAACATTAAAGACCATTTTTCACAGAATTTTTAAAAACATGGATATCCTCCCTAATTCATCGGAAACAGCTCCTATCAATTTTGTGATATTTGGGACTCCTAAATCAGAGGAATAGCAGTGTGTTTAGAATAGATGTGTTCATGTTGTTTTTGTTTCTAATTCAGAGTTGGATAATTCTAGCATTTGGGGTTGTGGGATATTTTAACTTTTGATTCTATCATTTAAACTCTTTATTATGGAACATTTCAAACACATACAAGAGTTACTGAGTCATGGGGTAAGTACAAATGTAGTTTTGCAACATACTGACAGATTTTCTTTCATGTGGGATTGTACCATATTGCATCCTCATAAACAACATATAGAATGCCTGTTTCCTCACAAGGGAATCAAAAGAGTATATTATCAAAGTTTTGGTGAGAAATGTTGTATTAGTGGAGTTTTCATTTTTATTATTATGAATAAAGTTTAGCATCCTCTTTAATGGGTAAGGACCTTTTTCTATAAATTGTCTATTTGTACTGTAAATAGTTGTATTTTTTGTGTGCCCATAGGAGGAGGTGAGCTCGGGGTCTTTTTTATTCCACCATCTTGACCACTACCATCCCTGCATGGCTTTTTTTTTTTCCAACAGGATAATTGGGTTTCTAACATGACAGCTGACTTTTTTTTTTTTTTTTTTTTTTTTGGCTGTGTTGGGCTTTCATTGCTCTGTGCAGGCTTTCTCTAGTTGCAGCGAGCGGGGGCTACTCTTCCTTGCACTGCACAGGCTTCTCATTGCAGTGGCTTCTCTTGTTGCAGAGCACGGGCTTTAGGTGTGCAAGCTTCAGTAGTTGTGGCACGCGGGCTCAGTAGTTGTGGCTCACGAGCTCTAGAGAGCAGGCTCAGTAGTTGTGGCACGTGGGCTTAGTTGCTTCGTGGCATGTGGGATCTTCCCGGACCAGGGCTCGAACCCGTGTCCCCTGCATTGGCAGGAAGATTCTTAACCACTGTGCCACCAGGGAAGCCCGACAGCTGACTTCTTAAACCAAAAGTTTTCAGGTCTTCCTATGGCTTGGAAATGATATAACATTTCCACCGCATACTCTTGGATACAGCCAGTTATGGGTTTAGCCCAGATTCCACAAGGGAATTGATGACGCAAGGGTGTGAATCCTAGGAGATGTGCTTCATTAAGAGCATCTTTGGATTATAGATTCTGCATGATTCAAAAGACTTTTTTTTTTGTTTTTATAAAATATGTCTTTCCTCTGTTTTTTAGAATTTTGAGTCATAATTAGGCATGGAGTCCCCATTCTCCGGTTTTAGAGGAATTCAACCAGGTTTTCTTTTAATACTTCTATGATACCATTTTTGACATTCAATTCTCTGATCAATTTAAAATATTTTTCCTGGTGTATGGTGTGAGGAATAGATCCATTTCTCCCCTTATGTGGCTTTTCAGTTGTCATAATGCAGGTTTTACAAGTCTATCTTCCCCACTGATTAAAGATGCAGGCTTCATCAAATACTAAACATTTATATGCAGTTAGGTATAGTTCTGGATGCTCTGTTCTATTGATCTGTCTATTTATGTGAAAATGCAATAATATTTTTATTATGAAGTCTTTATTATATGTATTTGTCCTGGCAGGGCTAGCTGCCCTTCATTGCTCTTCTTTTTCAGGGATTTCCTGGTGCTATTCTTGTTTGTCCTTCCAAATGAAATTTATAGTCAAATCATCTAGATGCAAAAAAAAATCAGGTTTCTTCCCACTGTTTTGCTGTCCTCTGTGTCTACTCTTTTAAGGAGAATTAACATATTTCTGATATTAACTCATTTCATTCAAGAATAAACATTGTTTATCCTTCCATTTGTTCAAGCTATGTGTTCCCCAATAAGTAAAACATTTGATTTTCATATTCGTATTATGATATAGCTATTAATTTTTAATTTATTCAGTATTTTTACTAATTTTTAATTATTGTCAGATGTTTCTTCTGCATTTATGAGATTAATAATATGATTTTTCTCTTTAGGTTGATAAATATGATGGATTTATCAATGAAATTTTTGTAATATTACATGACCTTTCATTCTTGGAATAAATACTATTTAGTTGTGATATATTACTTTATAATATGTTGTTGGCTTCTGTGTAGTTTTTAAATAAATTTGGCATTGATATTCTTAAGTAAAATTGAGCTGTAGTTTTTTTATGCATTTTTTTCAGGTTTTGGAATTGATGTTATACTAACATAAAAAAAAAGTATTTGAAATTTTCCTTCCTTTTCAATGCTCTGGAATGGTATAAGTAATAAGGTGATGATCTGAATTGTAAGAGGTTGTAGGATTTACCCGTGAAACCTAGGACGGGTGGAATTTTTTTTAGTTGGAGCGATTTTACTATTTTCTCTATTGTTTTTCTATTATAGTTAGCCTGTCTAGTTTTTCTGCCTCAAATTAGGCCAATTTGGTAAGTTGTCTTCTATAACTTTTCCATTTCATTTAGGTTTTTATATTTATTCATATACTTTTCAGACTTACTCCTTTTGATGATCATTTGACATTTTTTAAAAATTGTGTGTATTTGTGCTTTTTCTCTTTTTTCTTGATTACACTGGCTAATGATTTGTCTGCCTTTATTTTTTTTATTAATGCTACTGTTTATTTCTGTCTTCAAACTCATTACAAATGCAATTGTCTTAACTAGAATTATTGCTTGAGTGGTTTCTTTTTCAGAATGTTTTCCTGGTTATCATGCTCTGAGCTGCCATTTTAATTGCAAGTGTCAGAACAGTGGAATTTGCAGCAGGTTTTCTAGAAGCTGTGAGTGCCTCCCAGGTTATTATGGAAGAGACTGCGAACATGGTAAACCAAGAAAATGAGTGGGCATATTATGGTGTTGATATATTTTAAGTTTTAAAAACTATTTTTTAAATCATAGACATAATACATTCACATTATATCAAATTAGATAAACAATAGTTTAATGTATATTCTTGCAATGTATTTTATAGCTCTAATTTAAGTTGTGGGTGTTGACAACTGGCATGATGAAGTAATTGGACTTCTTTTTTCTTTTTGGAATAGTCGTTCAAAAGAATTTCTATGGTTCTATGATTATCTAGAGTAGATACGGGCAGACACACACAGTGGAGTCAGCTGTTGGTCTTTTTGAATGAAATCATTCTCCTTCCCCTGGCTGCCTTTAGACAGAATATAGACAAAGAAGCTGCTTATTTATTTCATGTTAACCTAGGCTTAACTCTAAAAGATCTGCCTTCAAGTTTCCTTTGAATGTATTTATTTATATCACTTCTTCATTTGGACTCAATGTTTTCAACTAAATTGGGAAAAGGAAGAATTATGCAATAATTTGTCTTTGACATCAGAGAGCCCTGATGGACAACACACAGAAATTAAGATATGAGAGTTTAATCTCCAGAATTAGTTGTATATGGCCTGGCTCTACCATATAAAATATGTATAAACAAAACTTCTGTAAGTTTCAGTTTCCTCATCTATAGAATGGGGATGATAATAACACCTGCCTTAAAAGGTTATCATGAGGAACAAATAAGAAGATACATGTAAGCATTTAGCACTGAGGCATGTTGTAAAAACGTGATGAACATGAATTACTTAGAAGTAAAGAATTTATAAAGCCTCTGTAGTGATATTAACAATATTTTAAATTGTTTCCACTTGTTTCAACCTGTCTTTAGGCTCTAGAAAACATATTTCACAGAAACAAATCCTACTAATCCTTTCCAGGTTTAGAATTCTTGCCAACTACTCTGATGTTTCTTGGGTTAGGGAGTATGGAAGTTTTTGTTCATTTTGTTTTCAAAATTGGAATTAGAGATACCAAAGATGGAAAAATATCTATTCAAGCCCCATAAATTTCATCTTACATGCAGTAGGGTAGCAAGTAAAATTTTGAGCAAAGGACATCACTTTGGTGAAAGAAATCTCTAAAGTGGATACATTATTAACTGTTAGGAAAAGGAACCATTTGTTGTGTCCATGTAGGAAGCTGTAGTGATAGTCTAGGATTTCAAAAATCTATTCTGGGATCAAAATGTAAATGAATGAACAGAAAAATATCTTGGAAGAACAATTGACTGTATTTGGCAATCGATTTGGACATGTAAATGAGGAAGATGTAGGAATCCAAGATAACTCTAAAGGTCTAAGCCAGGGGACCTGGAAGAATGATAGTATTATTTAGACAAATGGAAACTTGGAGCAAGCCAAACTTTATGAGCTCGTTTTTATATATAATTCAAATAGGGGAGATAAAGGAGATTTGATTTTTTTATGTATTGTCAACGACGATTATATAACAATGAACAGAAGAAACCCTGCACTGAATCTTCCTTTATTATTCATTTTTTTGAGTTAAAATGAGGTTAGAAAATGGAAGACTGTATATTATATAAAATAATATATATCAAATTAGATATTTGATATATTTTCCTCATCCTCATCTCTTTTGGTTTTACCTCATTTTTCTGCTCTCTGAATGTGAGTTTTTCCTAATGTTAAATCTGTCCTGAGTAGCTCCATTCATGCTGAAGAAGTGTCACACACATGAAGCCTCGGCACATCCAACTCTAGGTTGGGGGGATCAGGAGACACAGAGAGAGAAAGAAAGAGGAGAGAGCAGGAGTGAGAGGGAGAGCAAGAGAGAGCAAGAGAGAGTGGATAATTGAAGGGTGAGGAAATTGCATGCCCCTTCTGTTCCCAATGGTGAGTGGTGACCACAGCCCCAGCAAAAACTCAAGGTAGGGAATGGGAATCCTTTGACTGCAGTCAAACTTAGCTCTCACCTATGTCCCTCAGGGTGAGCATCTCCCTGGGCAGAGGACAATTTTAGCATTCCAAGAAATGCATTTGCTTGGATGACATAGGCTGTAAATCTAAACCAATTACTTCTGATGTTCAGACACAAAAGTACTGATCTCCAACCATGGAGGAAAAGCATGTTATATTGGACTTACTAAGAAGCAGTTCTATATCATACTCTATAGGCTATCTAAGGAAAATTTTCAGAGATTAAATTTCACTGACTTTAAAACATAACTTCTTCATAAGATGTTAACCTACTACATATGCATCATATTCTCTGTCTTCTATTTCCTTTATCTCTCCTTTTCTTCTCCTGTCTCCCTCACACCCACTTCTGTCATCCATTCCAGGACTTTAAATATCAAGAGCTGCGTGAATCACCTTCCACAAATACTCTCTTACCTATTTTAAGAATTTTAAATTCGCACTAAATTTAGCCTGGATCTGAAGTTAGAAAACATTGCTATTTTAGGTGTTTAGGTTATTAGAGGGTTTTGATGAAGTCTTTGTCAGATTATAACACATTCTAGCAAATAAATTTTATCTACTTGAAGATATTTAAAATTTTCTTATGGACTTTTCTAGACTAGTTGTAGAGAATGGCACTGATATATTCGCATCTCTGCATGACAAATGTATTATTGTCAACATGCTTCTCCATGTAATTTTGTCTTGCTTTTCAATTCTGTGCTCTTCTCTCCTTCTTTGGTCCTGATAAAGACGTGACCTAGAGCATATCCTTTAATTTTGTCCGTTTTTATTCTTAAATCCAAAATAGCATTTTGACATTTTCATTTTCTAGCATGCCTTCCTGGATTTTATGGTTTGAATTGTGCTCACATCTGTGACTGCAAAAACAGAGCCAACTGTGATGCAGCAGTTGGACAATGCATTTGCCCAGCAGGTTTCCACGGTAGCCAATGTGAAAAAGGTATAACCAGGGTGTTTTTAAGCGTTGAATGTGGGAATTCTGTGTGACTGTGAGGTCTTTCCATCTGAGGGCAAACGTGTAAACCTGAATCTGAACCATGGAATAATCACCTGAGCTTCTGATTTGGACATTAAAGTGACAGGAATTCACTCTACAGACAGTATAATGAGTCTTGATTTTGTTGCTGATTGGTCAAAATTTTTATTTTGCCCTAAATGAAACTATTTAATATGTCAAAACACTACGAAAGTAGTCTTCAATGGACAAAGATTCTACTCTAAATGAGAAATATTTCATTAAACGCCTTTTAAAGAATGACATGCATTGGGTTCAGTGGTACTGAAACAGATTCGAGGGCTTTATGAAAAATATTTAAAGATGTGAATTAGGCATTTATCAGTAGAAGTAACGGCAGCCATGAATGTGGATGAAGATATAGAGGTGAGAATTTGGGCTACTCAGTTTGAAATAAAATATTATGAAGCCCTGGTCCATTCAAAACAATGCCAAACCACATCGTTCTCAGTAAAGAACTCCAAGTCCCATTTTAGTCTATATTATGTTTGCTCTTGTGTATATACGGTTACAACTCCAATAACGATAATGATAATATAATGATAGTGGTAATTTGACTTTGAATCAAAGTTCTTACCATAAAAAGGAGCTATAAATTAGTCCCATACAGTGTCCTCATGTCACTAGAACTTTACATGTAGTGACTCTTGTCCATCCTTTATTCACTTATTCATTTATTATTTAGTGATTCGATACAATGTGCATCTATTATGTGCCTGTTCTGTGTTAAATTCTGGGAACATAGTGAAGCTTACCGTCTTCTGGAGAAATAGACAGTAAATAAATAACATTTTAAGGAAAACTATTTAAAGCAATACACTTGGCTGGGCCACTCAGTCTCATTCCTTAAATTCCTGTCTTCAAAAAGCTTACATACATTCTTAACTGGTACAAACCGATGTTGAAGTAACTCAACTTTAAGGCCCAAGTGTGAAACCGTGTATAAAATGAAGCTTCTTTCTGAGAATTCCAAAAATTTCCTCTCTTCTTCTGACCAATCAATCTCACTTTATCATCCCACTTTGCTCTTGTGGAAATTGTATCTTTTTTTTTTTTTTTTTTTTTTGCGGCACGCGGGCCTGTCACTGTTGTGGCCTCTCCCGTTGCGGAGCACAGGCTCCGGAAGCGCAGGCTCAGCGGCCATGGCTCACGGGCCCAGCTGCTCCGCGGCATGTGGGATCTTCCCGGACTGGGGCTCGAACCCGCGTCCCCTGCATCGGCAGGCGGACTCTTAACCACTGCGCCACCAGGGAAGCCCGCAGAAATTGTATCTTTAATCTCAATTTAGGTGCATCACTGACAGCTCAAGGAGTTAATTTTTCAGCGTTTCTCTTTCCTGGGTAGTGTTCGCCTGGAATATTTGGAGACAATTGCCATCAACTTTGTGATTGTGAAAGAGAAAAGCTCCTACCGCCCAGTAACTGGGACAATACTGTATCTATGTATGTATGTAAATATCTGCATCTAGTCCAGAATAAGGAACCTCCAGAGGCTCATTAAGAGTCTTGTATTCCTTCCTACCCCTCCTTCTTCCCTTTTGGGTAGACTTATAGGATAAGGCGAAGGGGTTATGAGTAGTGACTCGGAATCCTTTAGGATCTTCCAACTTGGGAGCTTCTTGATGTTGACATTTCTTTTCTGCAAAGCTGCTTCATTAAAGTCTCTAATTCTTGTGTTTCACTGCACTACAAGTTTCCTGAGAGTCACATCCACGTTTACTTGTCTTTCATCAAAAACGTTTAGAACCAAGTCTAGCACATGATAGCCTTCAGCAAATTTTTGTTGAGGAAAGTTTTGCTTTCCTTCTCCACGTTCTTCATGGAGTCACAGTAGACAGAAATATTTGAACTTTGTGAAATCTAAACTAAGTCTGTCAGAATAAACATCCACATGGCATCTTGGTGAAACCACGGTAACATGTCACCAATGAAACACTCACTAAAGGCAGTGCTTATAGCATTGGTGCTTGCATTTAAATCCTTAAGAAAACCAGTAATGTGTATTGAATGCATATTATATGCCAGGCATTTTCATTTATACTAGGCGCCTTTACTATTATCACCATACCCATTTTATAGATGAGGAAGCTGGGAGCTGAAGCACAAAAAGGTTAAGTAACTTGCCCAAGGTTACACAGCTAGTATGTGGGAGCTTGGGGATTTGAAACAAGCAATCTGGGCCCAGAGCTAGACTTTTTAACATCCCCACTGCACTGCCTCCCAAGGAAAAGAAAGGGATAGGACTTTTCGGTTGTCAGTCTGCATTGTCCATTAACCACACGTGCTACTTAATTTAAATTTAGTTTAATTTAAAATTCACCTTGGGCTTCCCTGGTGGTGCAGTTCTTGAGAGTCCGCCTGCCGATGCAGGGGACACGGGTTCGTGCCCCAGTCCGGGAGGATCCCACAGGCCGCGGAGCGGCTGGGCCCGTGAGCCACGGCCGCTGAGCCTGCACGTCCGGAGCCTGTGCTCCGCAACGGGAGAGGCCACAACAGTGACAGGCAAAAATTCACCTCCTTAGTCTCACATGACATTTCAAGTGCTCAGTGGCCACACACAGCTAGTGGCTACAGTATTGGATAGCTCAGCACAGAACATTTTCGTCATTGCAGAAGGTTCTATCGGACAACAGTTAGCAATGACTTAAAACTAGCCACGAAACCAGGAGAGCTTATAGACAGGACGAAAATTAAAGCCTCACTCTATGGAATTTTTGTGGACTAAATTTGCTAGCACATAGTCTCTTTCATCCACAAGTAAATTGCCACGTGACAGTGGCATGTATTAACATGTCCATTCTAGGTGGGCACCTCAAGGCCTCTCTTGTCGTGAGCTCTTTGGGGTACCCATGGCCTACACAGGCATACTGCAGGCTCTTTTATTTGCATTTTTATTTTCAATTAAGCACAGTTCATCTGCGATATTAACTGTGAACAGCTGTGTCTATGCAGGCACTATAAAGATAAAAGACCTCATTTTAATTTGAACTCTGGTAAAGAACCTATTAAACCGCCATAATATTAATTCGTAAAAGAATGTAGCAGCTTTTTATTGGATTACTTCCCCACCCCCTTGGTAAATTAACATTTGCAGACATTCAAACAGATGTCTTGAATACACATCGTTATTAACATGAAAATGTGGTAATTTTGTAAATTAAAATCAGATTCTGAACTGCTCAGTAGAGAACCTGACTCATAACTCTTTTTCAAACAAGAAAACTAGGTCTTACCACCAAACTAAGTAATTCTCCCACACACTGGGCACAGGTGGTTATGTTAGGTTAAATTTGAAATGACACATCGTTTTTTTTTTTTACTTTCATAAAGTTTGATGATTTAAAGAGAAGATTCATTTCAGAGCAGTATTTGCGTCACCTCCAAAGTGCCTTTTACCTACCTGTAGTTCCTTGATTCAGGAAGGGATTGAATTACCATTTGCTCACACTGAAACTCTGTAAAAAAATTAATTGCAAAATTGATATATTTTCCATTTATCTCACATTTCAAATATAACTAGTTAATTAAGATGAGAGCTAGACCACACTGTAACCTACCTTCATTATCTGAGAAAGAAAAATAAAATCAAATAAACATCCACTGCTCGTGGAATATTCAGGATGACTCTCCAATCCAGCAAAGAGAATTTTGAGGCAATAAAGAAATGTTTAACAAAATTTGCTCAGACTCAGAATTTGCTCTAGTACCTGTATATTTATATCAATATCTCTAAATTTTCCACTTTCCACTTCCTGATTTGGGCTTTCTTCTACATACGCTTAATATCTTGTGTCTTTCCACATCGTAGTGCAAAATGAGGAATGAGCACTAGATGAGAATTTAGAAATCCAGCTCTGTCATTTACCAGAGATCTAACGTTTGAGAAGGTCCCTTAAGACATTCCAAACCTCAGTTCATCTCTTTCTAGAATGAGAGAGCTTACCTCACTGCCTCTCCTACCTCAAAGGTGTTTGTTAGAACCAATTAAGATAATGTATTAGGAACCCATTTTGAAAAATGGTGTAGGGCTAGCTGACTGTTATTATTGCAAAGTTAAGTTTCTCTGGTCCTTAAACATTGGTAAATTGAGTTATTTCCCAGTCTTGCCTGACTGCCTAGGAAATGTGAAACCATTTTCTGTTTCCATGGGCTGGGCTTGGCTTTTTTCCCAGCCTCACAATCCTTCAGAAACAGAACCTGTTAATTCTCTGCTAATTCTCTGCTGGATATCAGACTAAGACCAAATGCACAGGCAGGGGTGTGATGTTTGAGGGGGCCCCTTTTAGTCCACGTTTCATTGTTTTGATAAAGCTAACACTTTTTAATTCCTTTTCTTCATTTCTCTACTGGTTGCAATCACAATGCAATTCAACTTAAAGATAGTTATAACCCTTTAGTACATATAGTAGTATTTTACACAGGGGATCTATGGCCCTTTTGACGTATTTTAAGAGATGAAAGAGTTGAATTTAAAGTCATTTCCTTTTCAGCAACATAAGCACAAATAATTGTGTTTTCAACCTAAAGACAAACTTCACATATTGTGTATTCAGGGTGAATTTCGCCTTTTTCTGGTCTCAAGACAGCTAATCCATTTTCTGTGTGTCCCTCACAATGCACTGCTATTGAATAATCTAATTCTGAGAAGGCACTTTAAAAATATAAGTTGCTGTCCTGTCTTCTCGTCTTTTTGATTTTGCCACTAACTTCCTTGCCTCCCCAGCCTCCTCCTGTTTTCCATTAAAGTCCTTACTTTTCTTATATAACATTCTAGCATGGGAAAAAGATGCCAATGGTTAACCAGAATTCTTTATAAGCCTATCCTTATCTTATTGCAATCCAAGACATAGTAGTAAAAAGACTGTATGATAGGAAAGCATATTTGAATTGGCTTTATTTTTATTTTTCCCTCACAGAATGCAGGTCAGGCCAGTATGGACCCAACTGCTCTCTGAAGTGCCAGTGTGTCCACACAGCTCACTGTGACCCTCTCAATGGGAGCTGCACTTGCCCCCCACCCGCCAAGAGAATGGGTCCAACCTGAGAGGAATATGGTGTGGACAATCCTCAATAGCCAAACACTAACAGCTTCTCAGTGGACGAATAGAATTTTGCTGAGGTTCACCCATGGTTCATCATCTTAACTTTGGCAGGGAAATATACTTACTCAACCGTCTTCAGCCCAGCCTCGCCTGTTGTGAGGTGAAAAACAGGACGTCTCAACTTTATGGCCTCCAAGCATAAGTTCCATTCTCTAGCCTACCCTTCCCAACTTCCTTTTGCTGCATAACATGCCCAAGAAAATGAGAATGTTTTTTCAAGATCCCAAATCGTAGTAACATTTTGGACTAATAAATGAAACTTTTTATATGCACAGGAGGTATTTAAATTTGGAAGTAAGAACTGCTTTTCAGTTCAGGTTGGATAGCCTCACACCTATTTACTGAAGACCTCAGTGGCCATTAAGTAGCTGGATCCTCTTGAGAAATGTCTAGAATTTCATCTATGTGTCCTCGGTATCCTGCTTCACAACTAAGTCAGCTTCAGATTGTTAATGCGTTGTATTTCAAACATGACGTTTGGTGTGGGAGGCTATTAAGACTTTAGCCACATAAATATCAGGGTAAAAGTATGACGTGCAGACTTACAATGAATCATCAAAATGTTTAGTGGTGTTCTCCCAATCACTGGTCAGCAGACAGGAAGAAAAAGTGAGTAGAAGTGATCAAGGCAAGTGCTTAGCCTGCTCTGAGGGACACAAATTTCCCATGGAGTAGGGCCTGACTGGAAGGAGGATTTTAATCTACACTGTAATCTTGACCCAAATTGTTCATCGTTTAGGTCAGCTCTACAACATTTGTAAGCATAAGCCCTGTGATGAGCCCCAGAAAGACACAGCAATAAATATGATTGTATTTTTTGCTCTCAACTGGTTTATACGTGTTTAAAATTTCAGACGACTGGTTAATTCACTTTAGAGGACAAAAATTTTCTTGATTGGAAATGTTGTTACTCACGTTATCCATGCTTTATTGGGATAAACATAGAGAATACTGAAATTATATGACTAGATATTTGACTTATATACTGCCTAGAGTAGTTTTAAATCAAAATCTATTTAAGATAGACTTGACTAAAGGATTTATGAAAAATACTTAGTGTTATCAATTCAGTAGAGTTTCTGAGCTTTACTTAACATTCATCTTCCTATATCTCAGCACATTTAACAGAGATATAGCATACCTATAATAGGCAGCCATGTCAAATTTAATGTTATTAAATAATATGAAGGACTTGATTAGATAACTTCCTAAGAGATTACTTATAAATTTGCTTTGGTCTTAAAAAAGCTGCAATCAGCTTATCCTTTTCTATTCTCTATCTACAGTATTTGAAATTAAAGTTTTTTGTTTATATTTAAATTATTTTTATCCCATCAGTGGAAAACTATGCTTTATTCTCAATATTTGCTCATTTTCCTTACCTTTTATTTTTCAAGCTTCTCTCAGCTATCCTCATCTGACCTGCAAAGACAATAAGATATATAAAAGCAGCATTCTTTCTTGGGCTGCCATCCACCACTGAACTCCCTTCATTTCAAGACTTAAAAAAAACAATGACTGCAAACAGGGAAGAAAAGCAAGACACCAGGTTTCTCTTCCTTACTAGAGATGTTGTTATCACCAGTAAGACAGACAAGAATTTGGCACGAAAAAAAAGTAAGAGATTTCTTTAGGTTGAATTTTTTTCTTATATACTGTTTAACTCTTTATAAATGAGAAACCATATGTAAACTGTTAAACATGATTCTTGGCAAATGGCAGATGTTCCATATGTTATCTCCCTTCATCCTCTTTTCCACCCCAAGCTCTAAAACTAACTATGAGAGTGGGAAAGCAAAGTCATAGCATAAACCTGTATTTGCACAATCACGTGACCCTTTAGACAAAGTGAATTTCACTTTCATTGTTATACCAGTCAACAGGAACCAATGCAAGTTACTGTAGCCCCTTTTCTTTACAAAATTGGTATAGGTCTCCCTTTCATATCAAAAAAGAAAACAGAAAAATATTTAAAATCCAGAAGGTTTCCATTTTACTTTTAGTCACCTTGAAGTATCTCAAGTATGACTCTACAAAAGTTAATAGTCATGTGGTAAGTCATCTGTTCTAAAAATATTCCAGTTCTTCTCTTTGAGGACACTAGTAGATGTCTAAAAATCATTGTAGGCAATGACATTTCATTCATGGAGCAGCATATAATAAATGTTAATCTTAAATAATTTAACAGATGGAAAAGTATAAAATAGAATTTCCTTGCAAAATCATATAACAGAATTTTAAGATTCATTTTTTAAATAACTGGCATGTTAAAATGCTTTAAATTAAGAAAATAGTATACAATGACCCACATTTCTGAATAAATAAATACACATATGTTTTACTACTATAAGGATTTACCTGAGCTTTCTACATGTCAACAGCTATTCAGGTACAGTAAAGTGTAATTTGGCTACCAAGATATAATTTGCACAAAATTAAAAAAAAATTCAACTGTTGTTTAAAATGAAGCATGATTTAATAGGCATGTCCTCTTTGTTTATTTTTTTAAAATCTTTACTGGAATATAATTGCTTTACAATGTTGTGTTAGTTTCTGCTGTATAACAAAGTGAATCAGTTATATGTATACATATATCCCCATATCCCCCCCTTCTTGTGTCTCCCTCCCACACTCCCTATCCCAGGCCTCTAAGTGGTCACAAAGCACTGAGCTGATCTCCCTGTGTTATGGTGGCTGCTTCCCACTAGCTATCTATTTTACATTTGGTAGTGTATATATGTCAATGCTACTCTCTCACTTCGTCCCAGTTTATCCTTCCCCCTCCCCATAACCTCAAGTCCATTCATGTCCTCTTTAAAGTCCAACGTCAAATGAGAATCATTGTCATTGGGTAGAAATACGTTACATTATTCCTTCTACTTTCCCTCCCTATATAATCTGCCCCTTAAATGTAGACATGCTGATCCCAAAAGAAATTCATCCATCCATAATACCCCTTTTCAAAGGTGCCTATGCTGTGATGTTTCAGTCTCTCTCATTTGAAATACAACATCAGAGTGGGGATTACTATGCTTTTCTGTGATAATATAGCTCAAGTTTAAAGAAAAGTGAGCAGATGTATAGAAGTGCGCTGGCTAATTTCCATCTAAAAAGTTTCCATCAAAAAAGCCTGGGATGTACCATTTCAATTTAACACCTAACTTTCCCCTTACTCTTTCTAACTTCTACGTTCATCTATCGAGTTTTCCAGATGAGACAGCTATTTGACACAGATTAAATTATTTTTAGAGAACTTGGAAATAATTCGAAGAGTTAGTGGCAAGAATGGCATTTCCTTTGTTAGAAATAGCAAAGAGGGTTTGACTTCTCCTGGGCCTCTTTCACCTTGGTTTCTCTAGGACCTGGTAATACAAATGTAGCAATAATTTAAAAAAGCATTTTGATGAAGTGAACAAATAATAGCAACTGTCTACACTCTAGGAGTTATGTATGCAATTCAGTTGAAATAACTTTTCATGGTTCTATAACAGAAAAAAAAAATCAAAGTAGCTGAGCTTTTAAAGTAGATTTCAAAGCGATTCCAAAGTTTTGACTCTTTTTGCTAATCATGTGGAAACTATGTTCTACTCTTTCTGCTTATATTATAGTTTTTTTAAATCAAAAAACACAAAAACCAATAATTAAGGCCTAGGAAATATATTTAAAAGCAGTAGATATCTCTTTTCTATATTCTTACAAATACTGACATGCTCTTTCATCTCTAAATCTTTTGTCAGGATTATAGGAAACACCATTTAATCACTCCTCATTTTAATGTTTATGTGCAAGTAGCACAAATTTTGAAGAATATTAATTCAAATGACAAATATTAACATTTTAATTAATATTCTTCCACTGGATATCTTAAAAATATATAGAAAATTTCATAATTCCTCTTCTTGGAAAGAATGCAAGAATATCTATGAAATATAATTTTTTTGCTCAGACTTCATGAGAAAAATTCAACAATAGTCCATCAGACAAAAAGATTCATGTGAAGAATTAGATATTAAGTGCTTAAGTGTTGACAGTATTAGTCTCTTGAAATGTAGAGATTGGTTTGTGAATAAAATTCCATCTGTAAGATTTGGATGACTTTGGTAGCTAGTGTTTAGCACGTATGTGATGAATAATGGAACTGGTAACTGATTAGATATACAAATAGTCCACTGGTAATATTTCAAATCATTTATTGATTGAAAAATGGCCTTTGCTTGCGTCACTTTTTAACTATTACCTAAAAAGCAATTTTCTGTATTTTTTAACTCTCTTCTGAATTTACTAATTCATTCAGAAATATTTACTGTCTACAACACTAGATACTACTGGAGGCATGAAAAAATAGTGGTGAGCAAGATGGATGTGTTCCCTGCCCTCATAAACTTACAGTCTAGTATACGATATTAGCCAAGGAGAACAATGTTTTTAAACATTCTTAGCTTTGCAGTGAGTTTTATAGTTCATCAATCCTTTTATAGTTCATTAATCCTTTCCTAAGTCTATTTCTCACAAATGTGTTATTTCTCCTATATTAATACACACTTTGATAAACCAAATGTATTCTACCTAACCTTAAAAAATCCACACAAAAGATTTTACTCTTAATGCCACTACAGGAAATGAAATTTTTTTTTTTTTTTGCGGTACGCGGGCCTCTCACTGTTGTGGCCTCTCCCGTTGCGGAGCACAGGCTCCGGACGCGCAAGCTCAGCGACCATTGCTCACGGGCCCAGCCACTCCGCAGCATGTGGGATCCTCCCAGACCAGGGCACGAACCCGTGTCCCCTGCATCGGCAGGCGGACTCTCAACCACTGAACCACCAGGGAAGCCCGGAACATTTTTTAAAAACTCGTGACATACCATTTTACATTTATAGAAAACTATATTATTTTTTGTAATGTAAAAAGGAAGTCCACTTTCAAATTTGTTATTGTAGCTCTAACGGCATGGAGATTTAGGTAGTGGAAGTAGAGAAAAAAAGGAAATATTTCTCTTATTCTGAAAAATGTCATGTTCTTTCAGCATCCACTACTGCATTCTCTGTTGGTCAAGATAAGTGTTTCCCAGTGAGAGAGGAAAGTTTTGAGACATTTTTAAGAATCTGGTTTCATAACAAGGCAAGTAGTTCTCTCAAACCTTAAAAAATACTTGCCATTTTAATGATGTCAGAGAAGAAGATTAGATAATTTCTTTTTTAAAAAAATTGGTAAAATACACATAACTTAAAATTTACCATCTTAACGATTTTAAGTGTCTGAGTGGTATTAAGAGCATTCACATTGTTGTTCCACAATCACCAAGCATTATTTCTTTTATTATAGGAAGAACTTCTCGATGCCAGTTGCGTAGTATGTAGAGTCCTCAGCACAAGCTGTTGGTCTACTTAAATAACTTAATTGTATACTGCCTGCACTTGTGAATTTTTTCATATTTTGTGAATATTTTGATTATTTGAAATTATGCTTTCTATAAGTTTCTTCTTATTTGCTAGGCATTTCTGAAACAAAGACATTTTTCACCTTTAGACAGTTACACTTTTCTGAAAGATCGTGCAATTAGAAAAGCAGTCGTTGTTTGCTAAGCGTATCACAGTTGTAGCGCATCCATTTTTTCATGTTTCTAAACATACTGAAAAAACATCAGACAATCAGCAAACTCATTGTGCTCTATGAAACATTAATTGAATTTGTAATTCTGTTTTGAACAACCCTCATGAATTTCCCAAATTTGTACCCTTTTCCTAAATATCTGCTCCCTGGAGGCCACTCTGGCCTTGAGGCAATCACAGTATCAAGGAAATGGTACAGAGGCTCTCAAGGCCTTGAGGCCTCAAGCAATGAGTGTTCCATGGAATTAAAAAGTAATCGTATTTAATAAGGAGTAAAGGGGGGAAGGGGAGGAGAATTGTGTGAGTCTTATAGTCAAAAGAACACCAACGACTATAAAACTCTGGGTTAAACATAGATTAAATAGTATACTTCACTGAAATACTTGTTTGGAGCTCTACTATGGATTTGTGAATTTCAAATAGGAAGACACAGTATGCAAAGAATTCCAAATTTTTTAACTAGGTAGTTCCTTTTTTTTTTTTTTTTTTTTTGCGGTACGCGGGCCTCTCACTGTTGTGGCCTCTCCCGTTGCGGAGCACAGGCTCTGGACGCGCAGGCTCAGCGGCCATGGCTCACAGGCCCAGCCACTCCGCGGCCTGTGGGATCTTCCTGGACCGGGGCATGAACCCGTGTCCCCTGCATCGGCAGGCAGACTCTCAACCACTGCGCCACCAGGGAAGCCCTAGGTAGTTCCTTTTTTTAGGAGCGTTTTGAAAAACAAGTGTCCAAAGAAGCACCATTTGTGAAAAATGAGAATACATGTATACTTGAGAGAGTCCTCAAAATCATGCTTGGTCTGGATATCCTGATCACACAATTTTATGGTGTTTCTAGTAACTGCTTGAGAGGATTCTAAGCAAGGCCTATATTAGTTTATAGTTTCCCACAGATCTGCTATGAGCCAGTATTTCTCAAAATAGAGCTTTGAAATGTGAAGTAAGATGTTGATGAAACTCTTAAAGAGTTCTGCCGTTCTTGTTTGTCTAATTAATATGAGAAATTGAGTA